CAGTGATGGTTGAAAGAGGTGCCAAAGAAGAAGACACAGAGAAGGAGGGCAGGTGGTACTGTACTCTTTGGACTTTAATTTTCAATCTTCTCTTAAAAAAAAAAAAAGACAAACTCCAAAACCACCCACACATGTATAAAATAAAATGTGTGCAAATAAGATTTGTTTCTTCTTGCTTCCTTCGGAGATGATTGTTTCTATTGCAAGGTCACGGTCCCTTGTAAAAGCTGGTTGCCTAGTTGCTGCCATGCCTTTTGTGCCTGTTTTGCATCGTATTTGCCCTCTTCTGATGGCAAATGACAGAGACCATGTTTGGCACGATGTTATGCAAGTGCCATGCTGCTCGTTTTTTTTTTTTTTTTTTATTTGTTCAGAGCTGCTCTGGCTCCTCTCTAGCCGCTCATCTGGCGTTGCAGCACTGGTGCAAGCCCTGGCCTCCTGGGTGGCTTCGGAGCTGAGACCTGTGTGCAGCTGCTGCCAGGGTGCTGCTCAGAGGGGGATTTTGGGGAGCATTAAGCGAGATGTCTATGGGCAGATGGTTGCCAAGAACTTGAACAAACAAGTATGAATAGCTGGAGCGTGTACAGTGCTGTCTTGAAACTTCCTAAATGTTTTGAGGTCTCAGACAATACAAAGTCTGTTGTCACTTATGAACTGTTTTGGCAGGGCAGGATGGTGGAACGGGTCATGCAGTGATAACTGCAGAAATCTCTGGCTCTTCGCATCAGTGGCAAGCAAGAGCCCTTGGTCTTCTGTTGTGTTTCACTAGATAGCAAGCAAGGCCACCTGCTGTGAAGAGTCCTGCTTCATTGATTTGTTTCCTCATGGAAGAAATTCCATGGGTTCCTCAGCATGCTGGGCATCCTTGCATACCCTACTTCATCTGGATTTGGGTAGGTTCAGCCCTGCTGAAAACCTGCCTGGCAACCATTTTGGAGCAGAGCACACACGAAAGCACTTGGGATGTTCTCCACATGCACGTGTGGGCTGTGTCGAATGGGCTGATGGTTCAGGCTTTTTGCTGTGCTTTGGTTATTACAACTCCGTGGTGTGTTTAAGCTAGAAAAGACAGGTTACAAGCATGACATTCTGTAAAAGTGAACATTAGTGGCTTATCTAGCTGCTGGTATTTTGATTTGTCGTTGAAGGTGGCTACACAGCTGAGTCTGAATGACAGCCATGAAGCCTAAACTGCACCGCTGTGCATGCTAATGGTCTTTCCTGGTGGCTATGTTATATTGCCTCTGTGCTTAGGCTGCCTGTATATGATGAAGGCTTTTTGCATATTGCAAATAGCAGCTGAAAAATTACTTTTAAAATACAGCTGAGTCTTCTGCTAGTGAGAGGCTTCTACCAGATTTTGCTTCACCCCCAGGCTCCCTTTTACTGCCCTCTGTAACGTTTCCTCCTTGTCCCAGGTTTGGGAAGGCTTGAGCAGCTTCGGTCACAAAACAGTATCTGTTACAACCATGGGTGGAGTCTCTGCATCCATGCCTTGAGCTTCCTTGTGATCTGGAGTTGCTGTTGGTAGCAGTGACCTGTCTTGGTCCTTCCTGAGTTTAGTGATGTGTTGACTTCTCTGGATCCTTGTGTCTCCCACCTCCTCTCCCCCACTGCATGGAGACTTTAAATGCTGAAGTAGCACCTGCTTGCCAGAGGAATACAGATGCACCTGAATACCTTGTACATCCTATTTACCTCCATGTTGAAAGTCCATCCCTCTGACTCTTTTTTGAGTGGTCATAATGAACTTCCCTTGGATCTTTTTGGGGAAGTCTTGTAAACTTTTGAAAACCCTGAGCATTATGCATGCATGAGCTCCACTTAAATTACACTAGTGCGTCATAAGTCAACTAGGAGCAAGGCTCTTGTGTGACGAGTGTGGGGGGAGTGGATTAAGGGAAAGATGCTCATGAGGTCTCTGGATCTTGTTTTGGGACCTGCATGACTTGTATGTCAGTGGAGATCCAAGCCAAGCTCCTAATGTTGGCTTTAGAGTTCAGCTTCCCTCCATGATTGCATCTTGCTGCATTCTTTCTGGGTATCAGTGTTCTCGTCCAGTCCTCCCTTGCTCATGTGTCTGAGCCAGTTTGGGTTAGTAATCCTCTCCCCAGTAACCTGTTTTTTCAGGGATGTTTGCTCTGAGACTTGCTTGGGTGCGGTACTTTAAATATTGCTTGAATTGACTTTTTAACTCTCTACCCACATGAGGGAGGAGAACAAGGAGAGGGGGAATGTGAACTGACATTAGTAAAGGTGACCTCTTCACTGGTGAATATCAGGAAGGAAATTGTAGGTGAAGCTATTGCATGTTTGGCTACTCCACTTGTTGGGGCATCTTCCACATGGCTTGTATGGGGTTGGCTTCCCCTCCTTTGGCCTAATGCTCCCGCTGAAGTGATGGGCATTGCCCTGCACCTCTTGCTCTTTTCTGGATACAGTGATAACAGAAAGAGCTCTACACAATGTAATAGTCTCTTGTCCTCTCCTCCCTGTTCTTATCTGCTGGACTAAAGCTCGCACTGAGGAAGAGTTGGTAACAGGAGTAATAGTGTCTTCTGGCCAGCAGGGCAGGCAGAAGCTGCAAAAGGGAGGGCATAGGTGGTGAGGAAAGAGCTTGGTCTAGACTCTCCAGCTCTGCTGTATCTCACAAGGTGGCTGGTGAAGCGGGATGGTGTCTGCCACACCATCAGTGTGTCCACACCTGAGTGATGAAGCAGTGGGATCCTGCCTCTCGCCATGGCCACTTACTCACAGAAGGCTGCAGAGGAGGTGGAGAACGAGTGTTGACTCTGGAGTCACTAAAGCAGCTTATTCTTCAGGGATTTTCCTGGGAGTCCCAGCATGCTCTGGTTATTGTTTAAACAGCAATATTTAAGCTGAATGGATTGCTTGTCTATGGACAAGGATGGGAATGTGGGTTAGGGCTTAGCCTTTGGCCCAGACTCTAGGCTGGGGTTGTTGGTTTGGATGGGGCTTTAGATGTCTTCAGCTTGGGGATCATAGTCCTGTTTGGTTTTTTGAGTGGACTGAGAAGGCTTTTCAGACCCTCTTAAGGCCAGGTGGTGCAGTTAGCAGTTGAGCTCAGATTTTTGTCCTTGCTCTTCTTTCCATCCTGCTCCTTTGTTGTAACCACTTTGCGAGTAGTGAGGCAGATCTGTTTGCCTTGTGTCCTATAAACAGCAGAAACAGCTAAAGACAAGCATGTTTTTGAGGTGAAGGTAATACTCTATTTTGTGGGCAATTTGAGGATTTCTGGGAAGAGGAGTTACTAGCAGTACGTGAAGGACAGAAGTCTGGACATTAAAAAGGTCGCTTGTACTAGAGGGGCTCAGATGGTTGTCATCTAGTCTGAGTGTCTGGTGCCCATCAAATACTGCATAGGGCACCGAGGTGGTCCCTGGGTGGGCACATAGACGTTTGGAGTAGCAGCACTCAAGATGTTGGCATCGAAGCCCTTTGCTGTGTCTGATCCAGAGCCCATGTGACAGCATGTTTTGCTCTGTTTTAAAATCTTCCCTCACTAGATGACTGTGAAAGAGTATGGAAAAGACAAATAACCTTTTTTTTTAAAAAAAAAAATAACACTATTGAGATGATGACATTCAGCATTTATTTTGGCTAGTGTAGCTCTTTCTAGTAACTTCAGCATAGTTCTCCCCCTTCCTGGGTTGTTGGGTTTTTTTTGTTTTTTTTGGGGTTTTTTTGCCTGCTTTTAACAAAGTGCAATCGAGTCTGAACACTTGACCTGCCTCGATGCGGTGCATGACTCCAAGTATCGTGGCACGACATAAACGTGCACTTTTGCAAGCGAGGTGGGGGGGAAAATATATCACTGCTTTTCTCCCCTTTCCGCCTTTTTCTTTCGGAGGAGCCACCTGTTCACATTACATCATCGGCGCCCAGGAACACCGCCTCCTACCAAAGGCCTTACACAAAGTAGTAGTTCTTGTATTGTTTGTGCTCAAAGAGCTGATGTCATGCCAGCTGATGTCATTGTGTGCTTTGTGTAATCGCTATGGAAACCAGGCAGGTGGGGAGCCTGGGGCTGATGTAATTGCCAAACGAGGTGTAGAAAGAAGGTCTGCTTTTCTTGCTCCAGTTCTGTGGAGCCACCCTCTTGAAGAAGGAAAAAAATAAATAAAAAAAAAAAAAACCAACCAAAATAAAAGGAAAATGCTACTTGAAAAAGCCAGCAAAACATGCGATAGAGCCAGGGGAGGTGCAAGCCAAAAAAGCGACTTCTCTCTCCCTCCCCCCGCCCCGATCCATTTCCCAGTCCATATTAATGTCCTAAAAATAACTCTTGCTAGATATTTTCAGGCAACCGGGGCAGAAAAAGGCGAGCTGTTTGCCACATGTTAAGCGAGCACCTCAGTCACTGTTAGGTTATGAGGAGAGGTTTTCTTTTGTTTGGCTGCACAAACGTGTACGTACTGTTCCCCGGAGCGAAGCGATGCCTGAGTGAGCTGCACTCACCCCTCCTTGGCGGTGTTGGATGAGGGATGCCTTGTAGGGCTGCCCTCAGCAGGCAAATCTGCTGTGGACAGGTAAAGCTAAAAGACTATCCCAGCTGGCTCGATGCTCTGCTTTGATGTGCTGCTAGCCCATTTGCTCGTAGTTTTGGCAATATTTTCTTTCTTGGAAAAATGTCTTTTGAATTTTTTTTTTATTTTCTTTCTCTTCCCTCTTTGCCTTCTCCCATGGGCTTATAGGTGAGGCAGCCCCCGTGCATTGATGTTGCACAGACACGTTTGTCAGTGAACCTGTTCCTTGGCACCGTCGACCTCGTGGAGGGGAGGACAACGCATGCCACTGATTCGTGCCACCTCTGCTGTTGGTGACTGTGCCCAGCATTGGTCACTGTGACAGTGGTGATGGGAACAAGAGGGTCAGCCCCAGTCCTTGTGGCCCGCAGTGTGTGTTCTGAAGAATGGTGGGTCCAAAGCGTTGCCAACCTTGGGGTGTCTAACCAAAATATGTTTGGTCTCTCTTCTCAGGAGGACTCAGTGGTTTCAAGCAGAACCACGAAAACCTCTGCGATAACTCCCTCCAGCTGCAAGAGTGCCCGGAGGGAGGAGGAGGGGGCGGCGCATCTGCCGTGCCCCCCACGCTACCTCAGTCCATCCCCACCACGCCGGACATCGAGAACGCTGAGCTCACCCCTATCCTGCCCTTCCTCTTCCTTGGAAACGAGCACGATGCTCAGGACTTGGAGAAAATGCAGAGGATGAACATAGGCTATGTAATCAATGTGACCACCCACCTGCCCCTCTACCATTACGAGAAAGGCATGTTCAACTACAAGCGGCTCCCGGCTACTGACAGCAACAAGCAGAATCTCAGGCAGTATTTTGAAGAGGCTTTTGAGTTCATTGGTAATTACCCTTGACTGGAAATACTCCTGTTGTGTTTTTTGTTTTTTTTTTTTACCTATTGTAAGAACCTAGAGTGAATTTTATGCTTCGCTAACTACCCTGAAGGCTGCGTAGGGCCATATTTACTATTGTTCAGGTTGTCAGAAATGCTGAGCACCTCATGTTTCTACTCATTCTCATCTCTGGCGTATGCAGTTAAGTAGCCTGGGGGTACAATTTTATTTGTTGATAGTTATGCCAACCTGTAGGCTTTGAAATTCAGGAAGTCCTGTAAAACTGAGACTTTCGTCACCCCCTCTTCCTGATTCCTTTGCATTCCTAGTTTCCACAGCAGCTTCCAGCAAATTTTTCATAGTAACTATTTTTAATGATGGTTGAGTCTTTCAGTTTTCTCGTGAAATTAAGTTAGGACAAACCTTCACACTTCACTTGTTCTACTATTAGATTTATAACTTCAAAGTGTATGTGTGGATGAGTGGATAGTGATGAAAACTTGTATTAATAAGCCTCAAAGCCCTGTAGGCTGTGTGAGAGAGTTCACCATAGACATGCAGCTCCATCTGATTTTGGGGAGGTTGCTGAAGAAATGGCCCAGCAACATTACTTGCATTGCTCTGAACCTCTCTACGATCCATGCAGCACAACCAAGTTTAGGGATGTGTTTAGATCTGATCATTGAGGCTAAAGCCAGATGGACTCTTTCAGCAGAGTTGGTCAGTAAGGACATCAGTACATGTTACTGAAAGCTTTTGAGGACCTTCCCTTGCCCTTCTTTGTGGGCACAGCTCCCTGCAATGCACAGGTGGAGCTCAACCTTTTGCAGCATAATGAATGTCCTCTTGTGCTTCTCCAGCACAAGTATGTGTCCTTTCAGAGTTTTCTGAAATATGCTGGAGTGGATCACTGACATAGAATTTCCTTTTCTCATGCTGAGGCAGAGCTAGTCTCATTTCCAGTACTGCTGGCTTGATAGTAGAGGATGAGACAATGGAAACCTACTTCTGTGCTGTGACACAGCTTAGGTGGACTTGTTCTAGTGGGCACAGAGCTGTCTTCTTCCTTGCCCTCAAACCATTGATGTTTATGGCCCTTGAGTCGGGATGCAGGTACATGGCTTCTCTGAAACTCAGACCTGTGTGTGCTGGCTCTGGGGGAGCTGCTCGCAGCCTCAGCAAGGACCTGGTGGTGGGACTGGGCCTCAGGGCAGGAATTCCAAGCTCAGTGTATTCTTCTGAGGCCATCTGCCCCTGCCACATGCCTGGGCAGGGCAGGGTCTCACTGCTCCACAGCAGGCAGCTCTTCAGCCTAGTTGGGCAGTGTTTTGGTTGGCAGGGGGTCGTTGTGTGCTGATGCATGCGGTCTGTGGCCGTGCTATTTTAGTGAAGGTGAATGGGTAAATCGCTGCCTATGCCACAGTTGAGGTGGAGTGCAGCATTAAAACTTGAGTTTTCACTGTGAGCTTCTACCAGGAGTGTTGTCAGCTCCCCAAGCTGCTGATTACTGTGTGCATAGGAAGGTGAATGCCCCTTTTCAGCTGAAGGGAAGCCCTCTCTGAGGGCACAGGAGAGGGAACCTTGCTTTGATCCTTCAGGAAGAAAGGCTGGATCAAGAAATCCAGTAAAACCTTAAACTTTGAATTCAACAAGATGTGGAGGTGCAATAGGCTAAGCTTGCATAAAGAGACTGCAGAGCTCTGTTGAGGTCCTTTAGGGGTTGGAGGGAGATTTCTGCACCCAGCATCCCTATGAGCTGCAAGATTAGAGCTCTCAAAACCACGAAAGGTAGTGCTTGGCTCATGACCTTACCAGGGGCAGAGAAAGCAGCCTTGCTCTGAAAAGGTTTAGAAAGTGTTTCAAAACCATTTTACTTTCCTCTTTAATAGTTACAGCTTGAGGGTCTGTCTTTGCTTTTAATAAACAAATATTTTTCCATTGAGAGTTTTTCTCCAGAGCAAATTTAGCCAGCTGGGGAAGTAACTAGTCAAAGCTTTCCCTTCCTCAGGGTAAATTTTAAATTGCATTTGAGAGGATCTGGAAATGTTTAAACAGCAGATCATTGGCCTATGTTTCTTTAAATATGTCTTGAAAAAACCACAACCAAACCCAGGTTTAGCTAAGACTAAAGCCATAGGAAGTGAAATCATCAAAAACTCTCTGGTAAAGTGTGTCAAAATGCATTAGAGAGTTTCAACTTTCTGAAATACTAACTGGCAAAAATGTCTAGAAGGAAGTTGGCTTCATTTATGCTTTCACAATACAGGTTGAACATGTGGGGTGGGATGAACCATCCTCTTGGTGGGGTTGGATTCATGCCCAAACTTGCAAACTGAATTCATGTTCCTCCTGCGGATTAAAACAAAAGAAATAGATTGAAGTGTCACATCTTGAAAGCTTTATCTCCTGTTTTGAAAGCAAGCTGTGGGAGATGAGGATGGTTTGGTAGTGACTCTCCTCTTTCTTGTGTCCTATTAGCATGTGGTTCCAGAGGCCCTCTCTTCCCTGAGTCCTGCCCAGGTTGTAACCCTCTAAGTGATGTGTCCTGATGGAGAGAGAGTGTGTGTGTGCGTGTGTGTGTCCCTCCCCACCTTGTCCATTTCCCACTGCTGGAGGGGCAGCGTTCACAGAATGCGATGCTGTGCTGGAGTCCCACAGAGCTTGATATGCTACAAGTGAGGAGTTAGAATTTGAGGTCTCTTACCACCGAAGTCTTGCTGAGGTGTAAACTGGATCCAGCTCCTGCTTTTGCCCAGGTACCACAGCAGAGTGCCCTGTTGAAGCTCATTTCAAGAGTGGCTTTTACAAAGCCTCAAAGCATAGGGCTCTGAAAGAAACCTATTGTTATGAATTGAACCTGAAAATACCTGTTTTTTGAAAAGGTGGTGTCCTGCTTTGAAAGACAGGGAGGTTGAGATGCTGATGTACCACAGCAGTGTTGTGACAGAGGTGGAGATGGAGCCCGAGCTGCCTTGTCCTGGGCCTTGACCTACTAAGTAAACGCTCCCTGGCAGCACACGCGAGCAGCACAGTGGTGTCTCAATGTGCCACTCATCTAGTGGATAAAACGACACTGGGGTTTTCCAGTCTTAGACTGGCCTGTGTGTTTCACATTCAGTAACTCTGAAGGAAGATGGACTAGAGGGGAAAGGGAAGAGACGCTGCTGTTCTTGTAATCGAATGAAGGGACTTTTCACATTAAGTTACTCTTAATTGCGCTGAGCTTTTTCTAACTTACAAACTGGCAAAAATTTTACTTTCTTCTTTCTCGTTCCCAGAGGAAGCTCATCAGTGTGGAAAAGGTCTCCTCATCCACTGCCAGGCTGGTGTCTCCCGATCTGCCACCATAGTTATCGCGTACTTGATGAAGCACACGCGCATGACCATGACGGATGCCTATAAATTTGTGAAAGGCAAACGACCAATCATTTCCCCTAACCTTAACTTTATGGGGCAGTTACTGGAGTTCGAAGAAGATCTAAACAATGGTGTTACACCGCGAATCCTCACACCAAAGTTGATCGGCGTAGAGACTGTTGTGTGACAGCCACGCTGCGAGGAGATGGTGAATGAAGGGGTTAACCTGTTCTTCACCTGATTTGGGGCAGTGACGGGTGGGTTGTGGGTTTTTCTTTTTAGCTTTCAAGGGGGGTTTTGTGGCAAACTTTTTGTGAGTAAAAACCTTTTTTTTGTAAGGGAAGGTTTTTAAAAGAGATCCAAGAACTTCACTGCGTTTGGGATGCTGTTGTGATTTCCTTCCCAGATGCAAGCAAAGCAGGGAGGCTTCGGAGCAAAAGGAGTACTCTTCAAAATAAAAAAGACGAGAAGAAGACATATTGGGCTTTTTTTTTTTTCTTTTTAATTTTTCCCTCCTCTCCAGTTACTTGTAGAGATTATGGCTAAGTAGTCTGTGCAGGTTCATAGACTGAAGAAACTTAAGTTGAAGATGAAGCATAAACAGATAAAACAAAACAGAAAAAAACCTCCCTGAAACATAAGGGCCTTCGTTCTGCAAAGGCTTTGCTAAAGATAACCTAGCAAAACACTCACTGATGCAAAGGAAATCGGAGCAGCTTAAAAAGTCTGCAAGGCACTTTTCACACTCCTGACTCAAACTAAAGAAGAAAAAAAATAAGTTTATTTGGCGTGTTTCATGTTCCAGTTCTATTTTTCTATTTTGGGGTGTAAGGTTTTAACAGTAAGGGACTTTGATCATTCTATGCCATATGCCTTCACTGGCTTCTTGTGCAATAATAATTTGGGGTTTGTTTTGAGTGTTCAAACCAATTAGAGTTGGCTGCCCGCTAATAATAAGATAATTTTTAAAGTGTAATAGTTCAACGGCAGCCGGCTTGGTTCAGAAAGGATAAGTGAGAGCAACTGTTTCGTTCCTTTATATGGTTTTGATCCTGGTTACAGTGCCATAAACCTTGTTACATATGTATATCAGAATGTACAAAAATCGAGAACGAGCAAAGTTTATTTAAAAATATTTTTCGCACAAAATATTGGTGTGTTTCAGTTGTCTATGTAAAAAAATTTGATTATAAAACAAATTCTTTTGGAAAATGTGTGTCCTTTTATTTCTTTAGCAATTTTCCTTTTTGTTCCTATGGGATGGGTTTTTGTTCCATTCTTTTTTTGGTTTGTGGGTTTTTTGTTGTTGTTGTTGTGGTGATGTACATCTCCCTTTAACAAAACTGATATCTCTTGTTTGGCATCTCCTCTTCAGTGTTTCGTTCCTGTCCTCTGCTGGTGGAACATGTTTTCTTTATTTTCTACTGTTCTCTTGCATCCTTCAATTTCTATAACCGGCTTTATATTTCCTGGAAGTACATCAGTTTTTGGAGCTGTTCAGCTGAATTAGCACTATTGGTGAGGGCTCTTTGGGACAGGCCTGTTATTTCTACAGCTCAGTAGCCATTTGGAAAAATAACTAAACATTCTCCACCGATTCCTTTTGTCTTCCTGCAATTAGCTTATCTTCTATGTTACAAAATTGTCCGGTTTCTAGAAATACATTGGTCTCGTGTGTGCTTTTCCCTTTTCTCTCTGTAGCCCGCTCCTTTCACAGTTCCATGGTTCTTGGGAATCTTCCTTCTGGGATTTTTCCCCTCTCTCTTGCCCATCTTACCTTCATCCCTCGCCTTTTCCAGCTGTGTCAGTGTTAACTGTGGTGCGTATTTTAGGGCTGGTGTTTCTGCCTGACAGTGTTCCTTAGGTGGCTGACTTCTGCTTTCTTTGTATTTACTTTTTTTTTTTAGTGATATGGTATAACCTGATCTCTTCTGGACTGTTACTAACTCTTCAAGTTCATTTGTATGAGCCTATAATGGATTAGAAAACATTTCTCATATGATTCTGTTGTGCAAAAATATATCCCAGGAAGTCTGATAGCAGTGAAGGTTTTTCCTAGATGAAAATCTAGATGGACTGAACCAAGTTTAAAACAGGACCTGTCAGAAAACTTATGTATAATCACATTAGACTTGTATATTTTTGTGGACGTTTTACTTAAAATGTTGTTACTATACAGATATTTTCTTGAATCTTATCCCTTTATTAAATTATTTTTCTACTGGAATTGATTTTTTTTAATGGGTTTTTTTTTTCTTTTCTATGATCAATATTGGTCTTGTTGCTGAGATGGCCTTGGCAGTGAGTGGCAAAATCTCTTGGACTGTGACTGCTCCTGGGGCTAAGGAGAGAGTGGCTGGACTCTCAAATAGAGAAGTCACTATTTGCTGGTTGGGAGCCTTGATGCTCCAAGAGGAGGAAGGAGGTCCCTTAGCAGAGATGGTCTCCTTCCCTCCTTTTTTCCCTTGCGTTTGGCTCCAGCCTCTTCCAGCTGTTCTCCGTGAACTGCAGGTGCAGGTCGTTTGATAGCAGAGAGGAGGTTAGAAAACCTCATTGTTTCTTGCCGGAGCAGCAAAAGCAGTGGCAGCAGAGCTGAGGGCTGGCTGAAAAGTTGGTCCTCGCAGCCTGTGTTCATGACTATAAGTGCTGCGTGATAGAGCTGATGTTCTGCAGGAGGAATGGGTTATCCAGGAAGGGGAGTGTATGGGCTGGCTAGCTGGGACACAGCTTTCCTAAGCCTGAGGGGAAGGAGGACTGAAGTCAAAACTGGTCTTCCCTGTTACTGCTGTTTTCTCATTCCTGTGCTAAATGACCTGAATGTGAACGTCTCCAGTGGGAGGAAGGGCCGGCGGCACCGACAGGACTCACGGCGTCCTCCCTGGGTCAGCCTCAGCCGACGCATGCTGCCTCGGATCAGGATCGAGTTCACGGCCACGTAAGTTTTTGCGTCTGGCTCTTATTTAAGCCATGGAGAAGCCCTCGCAGCCCCTGAGCAGGTCACTGGCCGTGGATGGTCTGGTGCCTTGGCCTCGGTGGGGCTGAGCGGTGCTGCTGCCGCACGCAGGAGCACGGGGTTTGGAGGGCTTGCTCCCTGCTGTGCGAACCCCGCCAGCCCTCGTGCTCGTTGTGGGGAGAAATGGTGAGCCTGGAGGTAAAACTTGCCTGATTCTGCTTTCCAGTGGGGTGAACTCGGAGATGATGGGGCAGGGCGATGCGAGGCTGGGGGTGTGTGAAGTTTGCCCTGGGTCTGTCAGTAGCTGGGACAGGCTGGATCGAACTCCTTCTTTGTGCAGTCCTGTTCCCTTGGAAGGGGCTGGAGCTGGGCTGGAGGAGAGGAGTTCGGGAGGGTATGTCTCACTGAAGGCAGTGCTGGGAAACAACCGCCTGGGAATCATTTCACTGGGGGACAGGCTGTGGAGAAACACTGATATCTTTTTTGGCAGAATTTATTGGAGCCAGTAAATGATCACTTAACATGTTTATGCCTGAGGGCAGGAGAAATTGAGTTAGGGTTTATATGAGTGTTAGACCACCTGGGAGCCCTGCCTATGTGCACATGTGTTGGAGATGCCTCCTTTCCCAGGTACCTGATACAATACACTGCGAATATGCACCTGTGTATCAGTTGAAATCCCCTGTCTGAGCACCACACACTCTTAGCTGGGGAAAAAAAAGAGATTTGTCCTCATTTCTAAGAGGAAACAAGGCTGAAGGGGTAGAAGCCACAGCTGTGAAGGAGTCTGAGCAGACATCGGTGTTGCTCTGCCACAGAAACCTCTAGAAAGGTTATTTCTGACTTTAAGGTCAGAATTGAGGCTCGATCACGGATCTTTTGCTCTTACTGCGGCTGTAGCACACCCCCAGCCTCTCCAAGATGGGACATAGTTAAAACACAAATCAGGACAATAGTTCTGTAACCTTTGGCTCACGTGGGCATCAGCAAGGACAGGACCTGCTTTTTCCTGCTCAGTGTTGCATGCTTGGGCGCAAGGTATGCTAAAATAGGTACTGTCCTGGAAAATTGATCACCTTGTAACTTGTTTTCCATTTCTTCCCTTTGGGAGCTTGGGGTAGACCCCCGAGTGCTTGTTTCTGAGAGCATCTGCCCTCAAGACCCTTGACTCAGGAGCGGGTCCCTGAGATCCAACTTGCAAAGCCAGGCAGGGTGTTCGGAGACGGTGCTGCTGCTGGTTGTGAATCCACTTTGTCTTCGCAAACTGGGAACAATACGGAATGGTGGACTGTCAGTGTGTGAGAGTGTTAAGACCTGCTGTAAATCTCTGTTAAAGCTAAAACTGTTCAATTCGTTGATCTTGCAAGCTATCCTGATTTTAAGGTTGGACTTTCAGAGCCAAGAGATTATTTAACTTTCTGTGCTAAATATCTCATATGTTTCGTTCCTCTGGGTCACACTGGGAACCAAACTGAATCCCCCTTTTTGTCTTGGCAGTTGATTTTCTGAGGCTCCCTATGACTTTACCTTTCACAAATGTTGTGCTAACATCCTTTGGGGAAAGATGAATCAAAAGTCCCTCTCCTACCCACTCCACAGATATAGGCTAGGAGTGTTTCAAGATGAAGCGATGGTGTAGGAAGTGCCTTGTGGTCACAAGATCTGCCAATGACTCAACTCATTGTAGGAAGGTGTGTTTAAAAGCACGCACAGGAGCTGATGAGATGAAGATAGAAGACACAAGGGATGTGTGAAAGTAGGAGCGTTTTGGCTTTGGGTCCCTCTCTGCCGCAGTGGATCTGGCTCCTGGCGTGTGCAGTACCAGCAGCAGGAAGGCCTCCCAGGAACTGAAGATGCTGATTCAGTAGAGAGGACAAAAATAAAGCATGCTGTCTCTTGACTGAGTTAAGGACGTAATCAAAGAGAGGTAACAAGTGGTTGATGGCTGTCTCATTAGCAGGTATCTGTTTTCCCATGGCATGGTTGCCTGCTGCTCCTGTAGGTACCACAGAGGAGGTCACTGATGAGCAGGTTTCAAACGGTTTGAGCACAGCCTGACATCAGTAGCTGATAATTAGAGCCCTTGGTTTTTCCCCTGAGCTGAGCACGCTGCTGCTGGCAGCAAAGGGAGGTGGCTCAAGATGTGCCGTGTTCCCAGGAACAGTCCCGGGGGTGCTGCCAGCCCTCGGCATCCTCCCGCTGCTGGGTGCAGTATTAATCTCTCTGCTCAATTGGGTGGTCCTTTTGCTGAGGGGTTTAATTCTCCTGCTCTCTCTATTCTCTCTGTTGGACTCTTGTCCTAATGGAGCATGATATGGAGGAGTAGGCTTCTTTCTTGTCTTGCTTTAGCTGTCATCTTCATTTTTTCCAACCTTGTCATTACTCAGACTAGAGGAAAGCAATGTAAGGCTGGTAGTTTTGAAGGTGTACTGCAGCAGGATGAATGTTTTCAGCCACCCTGATGGGCTCCTGGTTTGATTTGGGTATTACCCAGGCAGCATCTCTACTAGGGAGACCAGAGCATGAGACCTTCTCCTGCGGCAATTCCTGCTTGCAACCACCTTGTTACTAGAAATAAGGGACATTGTTAGGATGATGGAATTATATATTGCAATCACCTGCTGAGTGAGTAGCTCTGGTTCATGCAGCCCAGGGTGGGGATACCTGTCAGGTGTGCAATGAGCTGTGGCAGGACTTACTCAGTGTGAAAGTGGGCAGTGTGGCCAGTGTGCAGCCAGAAATCCTGCTGGTGATTCAGTGGCTGATCTTGTCTTTGCGTCTTTATGGAACCAGTATCCTGGAGTATGTAGAGGTATGGTCCCCTGCCTCAGAAGCTGTCTGAGCTCCTGTCGAATTTGGCTGGATCCAGTCTGGCTTAAATCCCTCACCGTGAGATGCCCGTCTGTTCGGTGTGTGCACAGGCTGTGATGTGAGTTTGTCAGAGTGAGCACAGAGCCCCTGGGCTCCTGCCTCAGGGCTGGGTTCACTCCAGCAACGAGGAAAAGAAACCTAAAGTTTTATTCCTGGAGATAAGAATTGCTGTGTCTGGGAGGGAGAGAGTTCAGCACAATATAGAAACACTTTAAATAAAAAAAAAAAAACACAACAAAAAAAACACAAAAAAAACCCAAACCACACCAACAACAAAAACCACCACCCAAACAACAAACCTAACGTGAATCAGAGAGTGAAGTTAAAACATGTAACAAACTATTTCTGATAGATAAAAGCACTAAACCAGAGGTTAAACATAATTTGA